TGGGGGGTGGTCTCTACAAAAGCCAGCGGGGTCAAATCCAAATCCAAACCACCAATCCAAACCACGGTACCTGAAACACAGGATTTTGGACTCAGGACCCTTGAGAAACAATTCTGAAACCAGAGAATGAGGTGTGTATATTAGTCTTTGTCACCATTGACAAAACATCATACCCACTCACACAGGCCGTAGGACCCCTGAGAAAGAGCTGAAACCAGACAATGTTAGGCGTGCAAGTCTTGGTCAACATTGGGAGTTTCTATTGGGAGACTTGGCCAGGCGTTTTTAGAGGATTTAACACCAAAAAGTCCAATGCCCAAATCCATCAGACTTCTGAACATGAGGCAGGAGGTCAAACAGGGCTCTCTGCCATCTTTCACAACACTGGTCAGAGGCCTTTTGAAGCTCTCCGAGACGTTTTTGCCACCCACAGCTGCCGATGGGATCGTGACAAAGGCTCGCAGTGGACAACAAATGGGCTACCACTTCTGTGCGATACTTTGACCTACGATCCTGCGTCGTACGCTCTTTCGGGTCACCTCAACTTATGATTCGGATTCATGGCAACCAATATGGGTTGAACATGAAACCGCTGGTAGCTTTCCCTCCTTAAGCCCCGGCTGCATACCGACTCTCTGGCCTTGGGACTTCCACTGTTGAAACTCTGAGTTTTCTAATCTAGCTAGACTCTCCATGTTACCCTTTAAAAATGGGTCCACCCCATTATTGTGGGCAATGACTCCATTTTTTAAGGGTCATGGAGACTCCAGGTAATCATACCCAAGAGGGTTTTGTTGGGGGGGAGCGCCCTGTCTACGCTGCTTGCGCAGGCTGTGTGCTGCAAGCCCTGCATTGATTTATCATGATCAATTCCTAGGCTGTGACCAAATAATGTGAAAAGCCTGTGGGAGGTGAATGAGACTTTGGCAACCATGGAAATATGGGTATGGCTCAAAATTAAAGAGCTGGGGTAACGCGGGTTTCAGTCGTTGGTTCCATTTACCAGGGTGCCATTTTAGTATCACTTTCTTGAGCCACAGCCATATCAACTTTGGACTTCCAAACGGGGCCCACTTCTCTGCGTGGGATAAAGACGAGGCGGGACCGGTCGCAGGGGCGGGGGAGCTTTTCTGGGAAAATGACCACAGCGAACCATATTGTGTGCAGGGTATGTGTCAAACTCGAGGAATTCCAAGCATAGTGGTTTTCCATTCAACATCAAGCAAGTATTGTAAGAGGCTAAGCTATTTACACACAATATTCCCGAATGATCATGCCTTGATGTGGCTTTCAAGGACCTGACAACCCCATTCAAACTGTTCACCCGCTTATTGCATCCTCAAAGAAAACCGCCTCGCCAAGACATCCCAAAATGGAACCCTGGTAAATGGAAACAACAATTAAAACCTGCGGTCCAATTCCTGGTGGTTTTATTTTGACCCATGCCCACATCAATCGGCGTTCGAAATGCGTCACTTCTGCACGGTCGCCCATGCCGAGCTGCACGCGCCATCCACGAGAGCTCCTGCACGCCTCGGGGAAAAACCCGAAATCTCAGCCAACTTCGAGGCAACTCGCTAAGGTACCAAAGGAAGCCACCGGAAACCCGTGGAAATCATAGGAATCCATAGGAAACTGTTGGAAACCGCTGGAAAACACAAGAAAAATACTAGACAACAACTAGAAAGCCACTAATTAGAAAATCACTGGGAAAACAGGTTGACCCTGCCAAAGTCCTGCCAAAGCCACTCACTGGAAAAAAAACATGATCCTGCCGACACGATATCTACGGGAATAAATCCCAGAACGCCAAGCACCCAAAGAGTTTGTCGATTCCAAGTATGTTGGGTGAGCAATTTGCGCAGTTTCAAACTCGTAGAGGTTGGAAGAAGGCAGCTTATCGTAGGCGAAGGCGTTCGGACACAATTCTCCGAGCTACGTTGCCGGCCTGTGGAGCCCGAAACCCCCTCTTGCAAGCTCAGAACTCCACTGAATGCCTTCTTACAGGTCTGCGGTCGTCAACTCAATTGCACATCTGCGTGCTTCCGTCAGGCCGGCGCCGAAGTCCTTCCTTTTGGTCAAGGCAACCCCAGAAGTCCACCAGTGTTAATGGCTAAAACGCAACCGAACAGGGAAACCAAGAGGAAGCGCCATCGAGGAGCAAGGAACAAACAGGAAGCCAAGCAAAGCCAGGAAGCCAAGATATGTTTAGGAGCAAGAACCGACAATGAGTTTAGCACGTTTTAAGGGTAGAGCCAAACAAATTGGGGACGTTCAAAGGGAGTACTACTGGGAAGCCCGCAGTTTCCAGAGGGGATAAAACAAGCAACCAACCACCACCGGGAAACAAGCAGTTTTTTGTGGAGCTGAAAATGCAACCAGCGGGAAACAAGGAACCCAGCTGTATTTAATAGCAACGGGAAACCGACAGAAATCCATTCACGCTTAGCTGTGAAGGAAAACCAACAAGAACCCAACCATATATAGAAGCGAAGGGACAACAACAGGGCAACCACTTTCCTTGGTAAAGGCGGCACCAACAGGAAAACCATGTGCAGGGGTGAGAGCAAGAGCAAGCCTTCTGTATATATAAACGTTTGACGGGTACAGAAAGAACAATAACGAAAAAACAAAAACACCAACTAGCTGAACGGGGACACCAGGAGGACACCAGGAATTTTGACGGGTAAACGAGAACCCAACAGGGGAACAACATGCAAGACATGGGTTTCTGCTGGTTATAAAGAAACTGAATGACCATCAGCAAGGCAATCGCAGGCTAAGTCTGGTCCTTCCCACTCGTCCGCGTCCCAGGCGCCTAGCGGACGCGGGCGCAGCCATACAAAGAGCAGGCGCCATTGCCTCAGCGCCGCCTTTTGTCCCAAGAGGTGCAGTCGACGAGAGATCCTGGCAACGGGATCCGGGTTTGACATGCCGCCATTTTTTTGGTTGGCTTTCCGACACGGCCCTGCAGGCACTACTCCCAAGATGGTTGCATTCCACGTCCCAGGACATGTTTTGCCAAAATGTTGCCTATGTGGGGAACCCTGCCATGATCCATGTTTGTGCAGAGCTTGGTTTTCAGGGTAGGTTTCTATCTACTGTGCGTGCTACTCGGGAAATCTCCGTTGAAGTGGCAGCTCATAATCTCAACCGGTGCCATCGATTTCTAACCAACTGACCCAAAAAGGACATCTGTGGTTCCCCATCTATCCCCTTCAAAAGATCACCGCACCAAGGAAACTCACCTTAGCTGATCTATGGCATTTGGCCAGGGATTGTGGCCATTGGCTGCTTGATTTTCTTGCCTGTCTGGTGGCTCATTTTCGGCTTCCCACGTGAAGGGCTCTACGACTAGGACACGGAAACGAACCATCTTCTGCACAAACATGGATCATGACAGGGTTCCCCGCATAGGTAACCATTTTTGGCAACAATGGACTATTTCCGCAAAACAAGATTGCGAAACCTTGGCGAGGTCTTTTTCCCTTTCTCCCACACCATGATCCTCCTGCCACCATTTCCCCCGCTGGCCACATGCGACCCTCGCCCCATTAGCGTCTTGCGCAGTTCCTGCAAGGACCGCCGCCCAGCAAAACGTCTGAAGTGCTCTTTCCAGCAGGCTTAAAGCCCAGATTCTGGGAATAAGCGCGTCTCTTTTTGTTCGGTACCCTTTTCGTGTGGTTGAAGGGAAACCAACAGGAAACCTTAGTTTCTTTGCAAAGAAATGGCGGTTTTCACCACCCCAACCCCCCCCTTCCCGGTTGCCCGGCTGGACCCGTGTTCCGTCCTCTGGCGCTGCCTGTCCCTGTGCCAGGCGTGAACCACACGCCGCGCCAGGCCTCGAATCGAGGAACGAAGAGGAAGCCTTTCTGCCATAGGTGCCCTTTCTGGATAAAGATAGATGGCCCTGGTAGTTGATTGAACCACCAGGTCAACCAAGGCCCTCCGTTGTTCAACCAAATCAACCAAAACGGACACCTATGAAATTCTACTTTCAACCCTTTGCTTAGGCTGGGCCTTGCTAAACCACCCACCAAACAGGTGTCTCTTTTTTTTTGGAGACCCCCGGGAAAAAAACAATCACACAAAACGGTTGGTTTCCTTTTAAGGTGTCAACCAAAAAGCGGGCACCCAACCAAACAGGACACACTCCAAGGTGTCTCATGAGATCGCGTAGAAAATGCGCGTCCCAGCCCCCGCCTTGCAAACCCCCAAAGTCCACCAGACGCGGAACGAGGTGGAGGCGCTGTCCACGCCAGGCGCTGCAACATGCGGCCTGAGCTTCAGCATCTAGGCCCTCCAGTAGAGAGCTTAGAACAAGGGTACTCGATTCTGTTGCCGTACTCTATTGTAGTGGAACACTCCCCAAAAAGGGGTGAGAAAGCGCTACTGGGGACCTTGGCATGTCTTCTGATTTGCCAATATGTTGGCTTCCATTTGCCCTGGAAAAACAATCATATGTCCGGTAGTGATAGATTCCACAAGGGGGAAATGAAACATATTCTTGAGCAAATGGAAGTTAGAGGGATGTGGGTGTGCCGTTTTTTTGGAGAGCCCGCAAAATGGTGATTTTCCGCTGGATTTTCATTTTAAGCCAATCCCCAAAAACAGGTACCCAGCTGCTGCTTTTTGCAGAGTTGGGATTTTGGACATGGGAAAAAGCAGTTGGGGGGTGCTGGTCTCTGCTAAAACTTTAGGTTTGAATACCACCCAGCCTCTATCTCAGCTTCCAAAACAGATCGGTCTGGCCAGTTTCTGTTGGCTGCCCCTAGTGGTCCACAGGGCAATCCGATGCCTTTGTTCTTTTCTTGTATGGCCAGCTAACGCAGACATGGTTGTTCTTTTCTTGTATGCTCTTGTCTCCGCACGAGTGATCATCGATCAACCATGTCAGCGAAGGTATCGGAATATGTCGGCCCGAAAAGCACCATGCCACACTTCGCAGCGAAAGCGCGGGCGACCTTTGCCGGGTGAAACCACTTGCCTCACGCGTTGCGCTACGCTAGCGGCGCATCTAATCGCAAATTGCCCTTGCGGGCCTGATCGACCATCTGGAGGATCTGAGCCAAAGCTCGATCGAAATGTGCCGGGTCTTGCTTTGCAATCCCGTAGTCCGCAAGCCAACTGCGCATCTTCACCTGCATAATGGCGTGCTCATGGCACAAGCGCAAAAATATGCCCCACTCGTTGATGTCTTTCATGGTCTTGACGACTTTGAAATCCGTCACCATGGGCTTGCTCGGGTTGTCTGAGATGTCATCCTCCAAGCCACTGGGAGCAGGACACGCTTCTATGCCCACTGCATCACAGTCGAGCACATTCCGGAAAATGTACTCGGAGCGTGGGCAGTGGAATTCCGAGGTCACAAGGTACAACTTCAACTCCTGGTCGGGCGCTTCTCTTCTCATGATGACCAGCGTGTTGCGTGCGTTCTCGATCGTGTTCATAGCAGACTCGTCGAGAAGCAGATTCTCGGGACTGATGCCATGCGTCTTTGTGAGGATACTATGCATTGCCTCTCATTTCCAGAGTAGATTGAAAAAAACCAGTTGCTGTGTTGTTTACCACTGATCTTCAAAACTAAAACTGACAGCGCAGAAAGTGATTGAGATTGAGATGATTGGGGAACCAACCTTAATTTGATGAAACCAACCAACCCACCAAGAAAACAATCAATTGAGCAAACAACGAAGCAAGCAAACAAGCAAACAAGCAAACAAGCAACCAAGCAACTAGCAACCACACAACTAGCAAACAAGCAACCAAGCAACTAGCAACCAAGGAAACAGGCAACCAAACAACCAAGACAACAGCGAACCAAACAAACAAAGAATCGAGCAACCAAGCAAGCAAGCAAGCACACAACGAACCAAGCAAACAAGCAACCAAACCACCAAGCAACCAGCAAACAAAGCAACCTAGCGAACAAGCAACCAGCAAACCAGCCAAGCAAGCAAGCAACCAAGCAACAACGCAAGCCATCAACTAAGCAACCAAGCAACAACGCAAGCCACTAACCAAGCAACCAAGCAACTAGCAAGCAAGCAACCCCCGCAACCGAACAACCAAGGAAACTAGAAAGCAAGCAAACAACCAAGCAACCAACCAAGCAACCAGCAACTAGGCAAATAAGCAAACAAGCCACCAGGGACACAAGCAACAAAGCAACTAAGCAACTAGCAAACAGCGAACCAACCAAGCAACCACGCAACCAGCAAAAAGGCAATGAAGTAACCAAGCAAACAATCAAGCAACCAAACAAACAAGCAGCCAAGCAGCCAAGCGACCAAGTGACAAAGCGACCAAGCCACTAAGCAACCAAACAATCAAGCAATCAAGCAACTAGGCAAACAAGCTAACGAGCAACTAGGCCTAGGCAAACAAGCAACCAAGCAACCAAACAAACAAGCAACCAAGCAACTACGCAAACAAGCAAACAAGCAAACAAGCAACAAGCACACCACGAACCAGGCAAAGAAGCAGCCAAGCAGCCAGCAAAACAAGCAACTAAGCAACCAAGGAACAAATCAAACAACGAACCAAACAAAGAAGCAACCAAGCAAAAATGACAGCAATGATCCAAGCAAGCAAGCAGTCAAGCAACCAAAAGCAATCAACAAACCAAGCAAACAAGCAACCAAGCAACGACACGCAATCTATGAACCAACAAAAACAACGATCAAGCACCTAAGCAAAACAACGAACCGTGAAAAAATGGAATAAACAAAAGCAAACAACGAACCAAGCAACATGCAATCAAGCCACCCTGGAACCCAAAGCAAACAACGAACCAAGCAAAAATTAAATCAAGCAGCCAAAAGCTATCAACGAACAAAGCAAACATGCAATCAATAAATCATCGAACCGCGCAACAAATGCGGTAGCAACTAAGGCAAACAACGAACCAAGCAAAAATGCAATCTGGCAACCAAAAGCAATCGACGAACCACGCAAAAATGCAACCAAGCAACTAAGCAATCAACCAAGCAAGCAAACATGCAATCAAGCAACCAAAAGCTATCAACGAACCAAGCAAACATGCAACCAAGTAACCCAAACCAACCAACAAACCAAACAACAATGCAACCAAGCAACCAAAAGCATCAACGAACCAAGCAACAATGCAATCAACCATGCAACCAAGCAACCCAAAACAATCAACGAACCAGGCAAAAATGCAATCAAGCAACCCCGCAAACAAACAAAAAAAGCGAACCAAGCAGAGCCATGCAACCAAGCGGAGCCAGGCGACCCACCAGCACTTTGTGGAGTCCCCGGCCTTCGCTTCGGAGGTGCCCACTTTCGACACGTCCGCGCCGCTGAGGATGATCCGCGCGCGCGTGGCTCTGTGCAGCTCAGCAGCCACGGCCACGCGGTTGCTGAGGGCTTTGGGGATGGAGCCTCGATTTGTGGGGGAAAACCGGAGGGCAGGACATAGCTTTCTTCTTGTGGTTTGCGGTTTCTTCTGCCCCCAAAAAGCACGCACCCGTGCTCTTTAAGGAAACCGGCGGAAATCTCTATACGTGGTTGGCATGCATTTGTCTTAACCATTTTTCCTGGGGAAAGCCGACTCTAAAGAAACACAGAGACAACAAAAGGAAACAGAAGGGTACGTCCTGGGCCCTGGGTTTTTTCACCCAAGCGTACCCCTCTCGAAGGAAACCGGCGGATTTCTCTATGTGTTTGGCATGGATTTCTTAGCCATTTTTCGTAGGGAAATCGACTCCAAAGAAACACAGAGACAACAAAAGGAAACAGAAGGGTACGTCCTGGACCCTGGGTCTTTGCACCCAAGCGTACCCCTCTCGAAGGAAACCGGCGGATTTCTCTATGTGTTTGGCATGGATTTCTTAACCATTTTTTGTAGGAAAACCGACTCCAAAGAAACAAAGAGACAACAAAAGGAAGGCTTTTGGTTGTCTCTCTCTCTCTCTCTAAAAAAGAAGAAGGAGAAACAACAAAAGGAAGCCCAACTGGATGTCTGGGGTACCATCCGGGAAGAGCGCTTGCCCCAGACACGCGATGAATGACATGGCGGCCATGCTCGGAAGGGATCAAACTTCGCGCCGAACTCATATCATTCCCTGCGCAGCGGGGAACAAACACCTTTGTGTGAGATTGCCAGCCGCCCCCGCGATTTTTTGTTTGCATCTCTCTAAGAGGGGCCTTCCTTGGCATCTGCCCCCTAAAAACAAACCTTCTGGCGATCACTCGAGAAAGCGGCGGAAACGCGGTTTCCAAGAGAAAATGTAGAAGTGAACTTGGAGTTCATGTTTTAAGGCGCCTTTTGTTTCTGTTTGAAAGGGAAACCAAAAGCAAAACCACCCAGCATCCCGTAAACAAGACAGACCGACATGGCCATATCTCTGTGCTTCTCGAAACTAACTCGTGCAAATGGGGACAAGCAAGACGCATGCCCCATCCTGGCGGTCCGCCGCCAGTCAGAATTTTCAGCTAGGGCCCAGCCCTTGAGCCCATGAGTCAAGCAAGGTGGCGCAAGTGCAACAAGGAACTCAGGGCTGTCCTCAGACCCCACTGCTAACAGTTTAGCTGTTCGTGGGTTAAATGGAACCCCGCCACTAAACCCTAAAAACATTAAACAAGAAAAGTCGACCAGCAACCTGATCAAAGGAAATACTGGTGCATCTGCTTCTCGCCCTGATCGCGGTTTTGAAGCGACTAACCCCAGTTGCCCCAGCTACCATGATATAATTCACTTACTTCGTCGGCTTTCACATCCAAGTAACTCAAACCCGGCTGCTCACTCAGTGCTCCTGGAGGCCGAAACCCTCAGACTGCCAAGTCTGCCTATGCATCAAAAAATCGGAGGCCCCCCCACAGCATCGCTGGGGCCTTTTGCGGCTGTCGTTTTGTGAACCCCTCTTCCGAGCGATGTTCCGAGCCCGGCTGTGAGTCCCCATTCGCCGCTTCTTTTAGGGGCGTGTTTCTTTTGCAGCTTTTCAAACATCGTTCTGCTCAAAGCCCAGCCGTTCCCCCAATTTGTGGACTGGGTGCTACATTGGAGATTGAACAAATCATAAATGATTCCATCCCTGTGTGGTTGCTTCTTGAGAAATGATAAATTCTGACATATTGCATTCGGATCCTGGCCTCAGAATGACTGTTCTGGAATCAATGGCCATGGAAAACGACTTTCGTAATACCAATAAGCGTCATTCCCATGGCTACTTGATTCCGGGGGAGTTTCCTTGCTATCACAGAAAGTTGCAACCAAACACAGACAACTTGCATAATCCCAAGCCGTACGTGCTTTTGAGGGTACCCTTTCTATTGTTTGTTTGAAGGGAAACAAAGGGAAAATCGCCCAGCTTAACTGAGAAACTGGCTGGAAGTGCCCCGCACTCTTTCTGCCGCGCCTGCTGCCAAAGCCTGAAAGGCGCCCGCAGCAAGGATCGCTGATAGGGCTGGAAGTCCTGACGATAAGCATCATGATCGTCGCATCAAAATCACACACCCCCCCCCCAACTTGCGTTCTCAGCAATGAGGGAATGAACCCGACAAAAACCATCCCCAATGGCTTCCTTTAAGGGAATCCCTCGGGTTCCCAAAGCATGTCGTTAACTGAGCACCAACAAGCCGCTTGCGGTGGGTTAAAGCTGACTTCAACACGCCGAAACTGTCACCGGCACTCACTTCCGGAATGGCCGAAGTCCGATCATGTTGCTCGCCACAAGGATCCTAGCGGTCCAAACCTGCGAAGTCCAGGAACTCAGTAACTCAGTCACTAGGTCCTCCAGTAGAGAGGTCTGAATAAGGGTGCCCGATTTTTTTTAAATGTAGTCTATTTTAGTAGGGGAACTCTCCCCCAAACAAAGGTAAAAGGGCACTACTGGGGGACCTAGGTCAGGAAATGAGATACTAAAAATATTGTGGCATTATTTCGAGCGGAATTGCGGGCAATTCCACAATCCTGAGTTCTGCACTCGAGTGAGCCAGTAGTCAACCTACATCTACTACGAGCCAGCCTCGGACTACATCTACTACGAGCCAGCCTCGGATAGCCCAGTCAATTGAGGAACCCCCCACAATGGCGGCTTGAGCTCATTTTCAAGGCAGCCCCGGACAAAGTAACAAATCCACTCAAGCAGCGGGACACCACAACAAGGTGAACCACTGCCACAAGGATCTTGCGGATTGATTTGGAACAACTCAATCTTGGTCCGTCAACCGCATGGATGAGGCCAATCACCAAAACAAACACATCAATTCCAAGCACCAACAGATTGTCCAAACACCAACATGGTCCAAACATCAAACACAACTTGCTGGTGCTCAGTAGGGAATGATCTTCCAGGCGTTGGGTAAAGGGGATTCCCGTAAAGCAAACCATAGGCCCATCAAACCAGCAAGAACATGTGTCCCAACACCACATTGGCTGCCACTAAAACCTTGATCTTCCAGGACGGAAATGGACTTGGGAACGACCAAAATCCTTCTTGAGGCCCTCTTTTTGCGGGTCCTTGGAAGGCCAAGGAAACCTCAGCCTCAAGCGTTCGGGGCTTTGTACCCCTTCAGAACGGCCTCCGTTTGCTGCGCAGCTGAGCCGCCTTGCCAGACTCCAAGCGCCCTCCGTAGTGTCCTGGGCGCTACCCCAAATCTTTTGTGCTCGTGTTACCCCAAAAGGAAATCTGGTGGTTGACTGCCAAAATGAAGGGGTCACGTTGAATTAACCATTTTGGAATGATTCGAGTCATTGCAACTTTGTAAAGGGTCAGTACCCAAAAAAAGGGGAGTCATGGAATCTGCAAACTTCACGACAGTTCCAAAAGCTGAATTAAGGCAAAGGACCTTTATCAAGGTGAGCTCGTTATACCCCAGGTGAGCTCGCTGTAAAATAGGCAGAATCAACGTGCACTTTCATCTCATCCGGATTCATTGCTCTAGTCCTTTATAGGTTCAACTGGTGCCCTTGGCTAGCTGTAGAATTTGGAGAATCATCTGCACTCGATCAACATTTCATGGGAATTCCTAACTCAGATTGCGATTCAAAGAACTAATCAATAAGCCCAAGGGTACATCTACCAACAGAACTTCCAGATTCTTGCGACATTTAGTCGATGACACAAATAGAACACATTCATGATACATGGGAATCTCAAGGACATTGGGAAGACATCCAAGGTAGGGGTCATGTCAATACCCATATGGTCATGGGTCAAGATCCCGTACCCCAGAAAAGATCCCAATCCCCACTAGAGTAGTTTCTATCAGTGGTGAATCCTACCCCAAAATGGGATCCCTTTGGTTGTGACAACCACAGCCATATTAGTCCTTAAACACCGATGAATCAAACGCAGGGAGGCGGATCGGAATCGGCGAATCGGATTGAGGCGGGGGCCCTAAGCGCCGCAGCCTTGCCAAGCGCCCGCCCAAACGCTCAGCCAGGAGCTCCTTGCGTACCGCTTGGCTCCAATAAATGCCCGTTAAACAGGCTTCGGAGGCCACACGTGTTGTTGGGGCTGAAATGCTGGTCTTGTTTTAAAAGGTATGTGTATACATATATATATATATATATATATGTAAATTGTAAATGAAACATTTGTACACTTGTACCCTAGTATCGGTCAGTATCGTTTTGTTTGTTTGGTCTATCAGCATCGGTTTGCGGTGTGTTGGGGGCTACAAGGTGTTGACGTGGCCGCGTAACACGCGTCGAATCGGTTCGAGTCTCGGTTCGGGAGTTCCCTCCGGAACCTCGGTTTAGCAACCATCGCCTCTTATTCTAGGGGTTGATTCCCCATTCTTTTCAAGCATCGCTCTTTTCAAAAACCGATCGCTTTTTTCTCTGGGGTTCTGATGGCTTTCTGAAAAGAAAAACGGATCCCTGGGTTCAGAATGGAAATGGAAGTGTCCACGAGACTAGCTTTTCAACCAGGGTGCAGCTCACAAGGACTAAGACTCTGCGAGGCAATCGTCTCGTGGCTTCTGGCTGCTAAGCCTCGATTGAACCCGCCGATCGAATCCTCGTGCGATGCTATGTTGGCTATGTTGCAGGGAACCGCCTTCTGGCAGCCAACAAAAACTTGCCCAGTGTTGGTGAATCAGCATGATCCAGCTACAAAGAGGGAGAAACAAAATGGGCTGGTCGGAAACCACATCCTGAGACCCTCAAATCTTCCGGGTGCAGGGCCTCTGACTCTGGCCCAGGCTTTTAAGTGAAGCATGCCACACCAGGTTGCTAGGGGAGTCTGGAAAAAAACACTCGTTCCCCGTTTGGTTTCTGCCTCTCTCAAGCGAAAACCCTGCAAGGCTGAAAAGGGAAATGCCCTGGTGTGGAAGAACCATGGCATCTTACCCGTGAAACCCTTTCTGCAAGCCTATATAAGGGGAAATCCATGGTTTGCAAACAACAATAATTGAGCACGAGGGTTTTCCCCAACCAAAGATCTCATCAACGGTTTCGCATCCTCAGGATCAGCTATGTGACACTTTCCTTGGCACAACCCTGTACACCAAACACATGTCAAGTTCTGCGATCATGTCTGGCCATCCTTTAGACATATGTCGTGCTTTCTGAGGAGACACCTGGTTCAGGGCTGTGTAGACATTCTCTTTAAACGGCGTGTGTGTGTGTGAGATAGAGAGACCGAGTGTGTAAGCGGCTGCGTGTCTGAGTGTGTTTGTGTGTGCATGTCCGTCTGACAGCGTGGGTGGTGTGTGCGTGTGTGTGTGTGTGAGGTTGTTGATCCTTCAACTTTATTGGGCTGCCCTCATATTCAATGCTAGCAGTTTAATTGTTGGTGGGATAAATAGAACCCCCCCCCACCAAACCCGAAAAAGCTAAACAGCTAAGGGGATGGCCGGAAACCACCGAACTTAATCTATAAAGAGTTGCCCCCGAGGCCCGCAATGATGCAACTGATACTTGGACACTTACGCCTTACGACGCCTTACGACGCCTTCCGCAGGGGTCCACATGTCCCACCTCGACAGGATTGCTCTCAAGGCCTATTGTCAGGTGCCGCAAAAGGAAACTCATCCAACAGTAGCCCAAAAGGCGATGTTTCATCCAGCGCTGATCGGGAGAGTTTCTCCAAATGGCGGACCCCCTTGTTTGTTAAAAATTAACAGGAAAACCAAAGGAAACAAACAAAGTTAGGGGGATCCCTTTATGAAAAACGTCCATATCCAATTTGCCCTAAATGGCCAGTGGCCCCTTGTTTTTGCTCACGCCGCCATTAGCGGCGCAGGCCGAAATGCTCATTTCCTTTCCTTCACTGGGGGGTTGGGGTGGGGTGGGGGGTCGGGTGAGGTGGTAGCGTTCACAAGAAGTGCTTCGTGCATTCCCCGCTGTCACGGCCGCAAACAGCGCACGCGGTGGGGTGGGGGATGGGGTGGGGTGGTAGCGTTCACAAGAAGTGCTTCGCGCATTCCCCGCTGGCACGGCCGCAAACAGCTCACGGGGTGGGGTGGGGGATGGAGTGGGGTGGTAGCGTTCACAAGAAGTGCTTCGTGCATTTCCCCGCTGTCACGGCCGCAAACAGCTCACGGGGTGGGGTGGGGGATGGGGTGGGGTGGTAGCGTTCACAAGAAGTGCTTCGCATTCCCCGCTGGCTCGGCCGCAAACAGCTCACGGGGTGGGGTGGGGGATGGAGTGGGGTGGTAGCGTTCACAAGAAGTGCTTCGCGTATTCCCCACTGGCACGGCCGCCAACAGCTCACGTGGTGGGGTAGGGTGGGTGGGGGGGTTTCTTCGTTCCTTTCAGCTGTGCAGTTTGTTGGGGGCAACCATTTCAATGCTTCAGACTCAAGGCTGTCAGTTCTTCCTGTTGTGTTCTCGCTTGGGCTTTCTGTGATCTTGCGCATGGACTTGAGACGTTGTGCATGCCTTTCTGGGATCTTGACATTTGCACACGTGCCGCAGATGGCGGGCTCCTCCCAAGAAACGCAGTGCCTAGCTCTAGTGCTCCTCTTGCGACTGGCATGCGTAAGCTTGCCACCACTCCTTGCATGGCAGCGAGAGCCCGTGGAACCGTGGATGCTGAGCTTTTCAGTGCTTCTCGAAACGATGCTGTGTCATCTATAGTGCGGGCTGCCGCGCAGGTGCAGCATGACTTCCAAAGTCTTTTGCGGGGAAGGCGCTGCTTGATGCTTGAGTTCTGCTGGAGTTCTGCCGCGCGGTGCCTCTGCCTGAGAAACCTGATCAATATGTGACACGGGGACGCAATGTATCGACCGAAGCTGGCACATGAAAAAGCACATTCCTTCTGAGATAGCGGCGAAAGAATTTACGAGTAAGCTCAATGGAAACTTGTGGACGTGGATCTCTTGGCAGGGGCGACCAAACTGTGGAGGGGACTTGTTGTTCTGCAATGCCAGCCTTGTTTCACAGCTGAGGACACAACTGATGGAGCAACAAAGAGCTCCGTTCCGCTGCGCGAAACGGCCAGCGCCGGCCATTTTGTTCGGCATCTCTTCACTTGTCCTCAGCCCCCTTGCTTGTTCCAGGTACACTCTTAGAGAACCTCCTGTTGTATTCCCTTTCAAGCCACGAGAAAATGGCACCCTCACCACAGAGACAGGTTTCCTTGTTGAATTCCCTATAAAGTCGAAAGAAAATGGCACCCTCAAACCAAGCAGACCAAGTTGCAGCCTCAAAGTGATGTCTCATGGAAATCTAACTTTCTCCAAGTCCGTTGCTACTTTCCACTCGATTGGATTCTAGTCCCGGCTTTGGAAGTCCCTAAACCTCCCGAAGGCTAAGGGAATTGTGGTTGCCAAGAAAATGGTGTCATTCCCACCCAAGAAAATGGTGCCAGGGAACTGTGGTTGCTAGGCAAATTGGTGTCATTCCCAAACCTGGTTTCACCTCGTTTTCAGCTTTGCCGCCAGACACCACAGGGAGGCGTTCCCGGCTTTGGAAGTCCCGGCCCCGCGCGGTCGCAAGGCGCGCCTCCTCCGCGCGCCCGCGCCACGCGGCGAAGGCGCCGCGGCGCTTGAGGCGCAGCAGCGCCCCTTGGCAGCGCCAGGCGCGCAGCAGCGTGGGGCCCAGAGAGCGGAACCTGAAGACTTGGACGAGCTGAGCTGATTCAAAGAGTCTCATCTGACAAAGAGCTAAGACTCTTAGATTGGTTTATTAGCTAGCTATTGGATAATGAACCTGAATGAAGCCTGAATGAATGACTTAGCTGATCCTGAAATTCAATCTAAGAGTCTCTGACAAAGAGCTAAGACTCTTAGATTGGTTTATTAGCTAGCTATTGGATAATGAACCTGAATGAAGCCTGAATGAATGACTTAGCTGATCCTGAAATTCAATCTAAGAGTCTCATCTAGTAAAGAGCGAAGACTCTTAGATTGGTTTTTGGCTAGCTATTGGATTAGATTTGTGAATGAACCTTGAACCTGAATGAACCCTGAACATAGAGTCTAATCTAGCTAATGGTTCCGTGAGTCACAGGGTCTGATCTAAAGAACCCTAATAAACAAAGAGCTAAGACTCTTAGATTGTTTAGTAGCTAGACATTAGATGAGAATAGATTCGGAATCGTGAATGAACCTGAATGAACCGTGAATGAATGACTTAGCTGGTCCTCAATACCTCTTACCTCTTATTCACTTTAAACTGAATGTCCACTAGATTAGACTCTTGTTGGACAATGAACCCTGAATGATGAACATCAAGGTAAGAGGTTGTCGAAGGCAGCGGCTGAAACATCTTAGCTGACAGACCTTTCCACCAAGAGTTGATCTGGTTGTCAAAGGCGACCCGTTCACTGGCGCCTGAAGTGACTGTTAATGTTTTTCAAGCAGGATTAGACCTCTGCATTTTGAGGTGAACTTCTCGTCAAAGACAGACCTTTCCACCAGCTGACAGTCTGACAGGTCGGGCAAAGCAGACCTTTGCACCAACACCTGGCCCTTACTTGTAGCTGATGAGGTTGAAGGCAGACCGTTTCACCAGCTGAAGAGATTCAGGACCGATCAATCCAGCAGCCGTTTTTTGACTCGGTCTTCGGTGCCCTTGGGAAAGCTGGTGCGCCAGTTCTGGGGAAGAAGCCAAACATGAGCCGCTTGCTCAACACCCGGCTAGATTAAACTATGTTCATTGGCTTGGGTAAACAAACAAACAAACAAATAAACAAACAAACAAACAAACTGAACAGAACAGAGCAGAACAGGAAAACCAAATAAATACACAGAACAAAACTGAACAAGCAAAAACAAACAAAGAAGCAAACAAAACAAAACAGAACAGAACAGAACAAACACAACAAAACAGGACAGAGCAGAATGAACAAACATTCACACAAACAAACGTGCTTCAACTATCCCGGCTTCATACACAAGCAAGGACATCCGTCAAGAACTAACCACATCCTCGGAGTGAACCCAAGACCCTGTCCCACCAATAACCTGGTAGAAAAAGAGTTGAAACCCATTTTGGGGTCAATTCCATTTAGGCGCCAAAGGCTTGACTTGCTGAGCACCAGATAGTTGTGAAGGAATGCCCGCCATACACCATGCTTGCAGGCGTCCTTTAAGGGGATCTCTGATGATTCCCTACTGAAAAACCAGCAAGTTAAAAAGGCCTATGCCAAGCTACCATTGCTCCAGCCGCCGCTGTCGGTTATGCGCTTCCGTCCTCTGCCATGAGACCTTGCGAGGATGTCGGATTTGGGGAAAGGAGCCATGAAGGTGTCCCACAAAAAAATGCATAACCACTTTCCAACCCTTGGTACGGTAGCAAATAACTTTTTTTTGTTGCGGCCACACACTAAAACTGAACAATCCAAAAACCCCCCCAAAAAAAAGACAGCACTGAAGACTTTACAACCAGCTAAGCCAAAGAATGGACAGAGCGGGCTCAGGTCACGAAGCCCGCTCCTTCGGGCTTGTTGCAGCCGAAAGAGATGAAACCTGTGGTTAGAACCGCTCAACCTGTGCCATCTTTCACCATACAAGAACACAAACATGATCATGTACCTATGCTCCCATCACTGTGAGAACGTACAGAAAGCCAAGCCCCTTGCTTTATCCCGGTCGACGTCGGATTCCATGACTCAAGGCCACCAACTCTTGAAGCAAAGTATGTCACTGGGTCCACCGTTCTGCCTGACGCCGAAGTCACAGACCTGTGCCAACGTCACAATTACACAGAACTAGGCATAGGAGCCTGTTCCAGCAGGTATCTGGGAAATTGCAGTAAGTCACATATCGGAAAGAAGGCATCCGCAAGTATGAGATGAGCTCGGATTCCCCCCCCCCCCCCCAAATGAGCTCGCGATGACGTTCCCGGAGGTCTGCAAACACTTAGGGTGTTTCATGGCAAACAAATCAAGAGAACGGAACCCTACTCTCAAGGACTCCTAAAGCACTCGTACCCGTGGCCACCTTGGCATTTCCTTTGGCAATCCCCCCCACCCAAGACAAAAGCAAAAAAAGGACAAATGATGCCCCCCTCCCGCCAAAAAAAAGAAGAAGAAAAGATGGCTTTCATTTTGGTTTCGATCTTTTTGAACCAAGCAACAATAAGCCCGGGTGGTATCCCCACGGACCCTTCCGGCACCCTACTTCGCCGCGCGCAAAGCATTTTGACCCTCCCAGTGGATCCATTAAGCGACCAAAGGAACCACCCTTTAAAAGCAAAAGGAACATGGCGAAGGGTTGTCTACTATGAGGGCTTGCCTGGATCCACTGCCTTACAAAGGCCAACTTCACTTCCGTGGATTGACATTCCAAAACAGGTGTCTCTTTTCATCCACAGCTTCCCCATGTTTCAAGCCCTTTCCAGCTTCAATCCGGGCGAGGCGCATACACCGTCCATTCCTTGAAGCCGCGCTTCAGCAGGTGAAAGTCTCGCAGCGCCAGCGCCTGTTCCCGCGCCTCGATGCTGTGCACTTTGCTTTGTCAAAGCGGCCCAACTGCGTCGCAATCAACGCCGCTGCAAACATGGTCTACCTGTCTACTCAAACCAATCCAAATATCCTTAAGTTTAAAGTACCGATTTGTTATGGTACCAGGATGTTGATTGTGGCTCGCCTGGACGGGCAGGCCGAACAGGACAAACAGTTGATAGATAGGGAGATTGATGGATAGATAGATAGGTAGATAGATAAAGGCAGGTAGTTAGCTAGCTAGCTATATCAATTGAAATATGTATATTCATATAGTGTGTATATGTATACAATAAATACATGCATCGTGCAGGAATTACATACACTATGCATTATGACTCCTGATTTGATTGACAAACGCCGATCCACGCGGCGACCATTCACCGTCCTTACGCGGCCCCACCAGGCCTGTGACATCTTCAACCCTTGTTGTGTGGTTACAAGGGGGTTTGCCCTGCCCATGTCTTAAACTTTGGCCACAGCTCCCAAGACGGCATGGCTCACGTCCGTGCCCTCGGGGGTCGAACGGCCGAGGCGCCAAGTCCCTCCGCGCTTCTTTGGCCGCTTCAGCCTTCAGCTGCTTCGCCTCCGCCTGCGCTCGGCCGAGCCCGCGCGGCACCGCTTCGGTGCGGTTGTTTGGCGACTTCTCGAGGGAGGTGGTTCTTCACAATGGGCGCCAAATAAATGGCCTGCAAATGCAAGTGGGTGCCAAAAAAGAGGCAAATGCGCTAAAGGGCTTGTCCTGGGCCCACTGGCTGCTGAGGAACTCGTCCTTCGGCAATTTTGAGCTTCCTGCATAGAATCCGAGGTGTCGCTCAACATTCACCTAAAACACCTGGTATAGAACTCTTAGAGAGGTCCACGAGCGTTGACAGCCTCTTTGATGGAGGGGATGTGAACGCTGGTTGCAGCTTCGACTGGGGCAAGGGCTTTTTAGTTTGCGCGTATTCTCTGCCTCGTGCTTGTCTTCCAGCAGAACCTACTGAGCGCACTGCTTTCATCCAACCTCCAAATACTGAAGCTGGCAAGCCTCATTGGCTCCATAGAAGAAGTTGCATATCCCAGATGGAAGGCTCATGAGACCCTTGCAGTAGGGGTACTATCTCTGGCCCTCTGGGCATTGCCCTTGGGTCATTATCTAGACAGCCAGAAGAGATGGGGGGAGAGAGGGATGCCCGGACGGGTTTGGCATTGAGCCCTGACCTGCAGTGCGGTTGTCCAAGACATGTTGTTGGGAGATGTCTATGATGCGTTTCAAGTCCTGCTCTGATTCAGGCCAAACATTGACTATGAAAATATTAAACTACAAGTAGCTCAAGGAGGCTGGGGGGTATGCTCAAAAGATCTGAAAAGGTATGCGCAAAACAGCTTGCCTCAAGGCTGGCTGCGGCGGCTGCATCCTTCATGGCCTCCTGCACATTTGCAGGCAAACAAAACACTCTAATGGCAGGGCAGGAGCACCTGCTGCTGTTGCTGTTGCTGTTGCTATTGCCGCTGCTGCTTCTGCTGCTGCTGTCGCCGTCGTCGTCGTCGTTGTGGCCGTTGTGGTTGTTGTGGTCGTTGTTGTTGTCGTTGTCGTTGCTGCTGTTGCTGTTGCTGTTGCTGTTGCTGTTGCTGTTGCTCTTGCTGTTGCTGTTGCTGTTGCTGTTGCTGTTGCTGTTGCTGTTGCTGTTGCTGTTGCTGTTGCTGTTGCTGTTGCTGTTGCTGTTGCTGTTGCTGTTGTTGTTGTTGTTGTTGTTGTTGTTGTTGTTGTTGTTGTTGTTGTTGTTGTTGTTGTTGTTGTTGTTGTTGTTGTTGTTGTTGTTGTTGTTGTTGTTGTTGTTGTTGTTGTTGTTGTTGTTGTTGTTGTTGTTGTTGTTGTTGTTGTTGTTGTTGTTGTTGTTGTTGTTGTTGTTGTTGTTGTTGTTGTTCTTGTTCTTGTTCTTGTTCTTGTTGTCGTTGTTGCTGGTGCTCCTGCTGCTTGTTGTTGTAGTTGTTGTTGTTGTCGTCGTCGTGGTTGCTGTTGTTTCCCTCCTGCAACCCACCAGGGGGCCCTTTTAAAGGAGCGTTGTCTTCCAGGACCCCTTTTAAGGTTCAACCCCCCCAAACCAGGGAACGACTGCTGGGTCGCTGGGATTCTCTCTCTGAGGAAGAAACCGTTGAGAGGCGCTGCACGGTTTCGCGCTGCCGCGCCAGCTGTTGCTGCTTCCGCTCCTGCGAGCAAGGTCGGCCAGCGAGAGAACCGGAAGTTGTGTACGGATGCGTTGGGTTTGTGCCAGAAAGCGGACAAAGGGCAAACAAAACGGGGGTCGGGTGGGATAGGGTCACCAAAAAAACATAAAATGACAAAGTGTGTAATCAATATCAATATGAAGCGGTCCCCTGCGAAAGTGATGAACGCCCACTAAAACCAGGGACACCCCCCTACTAAGCCACCAGGGGGTTGATCAACCCGGGGCCAACATCGTCCTCCAATTGCCTAAGTCCCCAGGACAACAAATATTTCCAGCAGCGACAGATGTCCTTTAAAACAAACAAGTGAAAATAACACATCCAGCTTCTTTTCAGTGCCCTCGATTCATTTTTTGGGCGCTATGATCCATTTTGAAAATAAGGGCACTTAGTCCTAAATCAGGGTTGCCCTCCCCAGCAGTTCCCTCCTCAGTCCGGGCAAATCGAGCCACAGCGACACGTGAATGCGAATGACACTCACACTGGGGGGGGGCCGACGCTGGGCAAATCGAGCCGCAGCGACACTCGAATGACAGTTACGCAGGGGAGACCAACACTAGCGTAAGTGACCTGTTCAAAAAGTAAGTTACCTTGATTCGCACCCCCACTGACACTCAAATGACACGCTTTGACACTCAAAACGCCATGTTCGGGATTTCCGGTGGCAGTTGTCACACTTCGACACGGGTATGTTTGATTTCAACATAATCCCAACCCCTAACAGCCCTAACAGGCCAAAAAGCGCACTTAGCAAACGAATCAAAGGGTCACTTAGGCCACCGACACGGCCTTAAGTGCCCTCGATTCAAAACACGTCCAGTGCCCTTTATTGGGGGCACTAAAAATATGCTCGCTATTAATCAACAAATGCAAGACGTCCAACCTGTCCTTCTCATCGCGCATGTCATCAAGTGCGCCTTGCAGCCCCAGGATCTCCTGGCAAGTAGCGCTGGAAACCCACGGGGTGCGTCGATGTTCGTTGGCATCCGTAAACTGTTTGGGGTGTTTGGGCCCGTCGATTCTTTCCCCAACAGCTGAACAAAAAGATGGTTCACGGTGGGTTGGGTGATGCTGGTTCAGGGAGGGTTGCGGAGATTCGGTTCCAGGCCGGCTGTTGGGGATACCTGGGCTTGTTTTGTATCGGCACCCTTTTCGGCGAGATTTGCTGTTCTTAAGGGACGAACAGGCAAATCACCACTGTTGTGCATGGGTTCTCTATTTGTGATACAGACCTGGATTTTCAGCACCCCCACCCCCCCAATCAGAGTCGACAAGGAGACAGTTGCAACTACTGATGGAATAAATGCTAGAACCCTTGTTGAGGGCCATGGATCCCCGCCGAATCCCCTGAAATTCAAACCCATATCGTCTAAATCTGCTTTCTTTCGCGCCAGCTTTGGTTCGCGCCAAAACATCATAGGCAAACCTGCACCAGGTACTCGCAGGGTTGGGCGCGCTCAGCGTGAACGTTGCCATGGTCTTGCAAACCACCGTTGGCTGAGGCAAATGGGGTAGTTTGCTTTTGTAAACCACCGTTGGCTTAAGCACATGGGCGGTGTTCTCCACTTTCCACTTTCCGTTCACGACATTGGTCTTGCACGCAAGCCGCACATCACAAGCAGGCGTCAATTCCGCGAGTTTGTGTCCCGAGGATATGGCTGCTGGACAAGCAAACAAATGATTCTTCAGGCGGTTCTTGCGTGACTCAAAACTGCGAAAGCCAGTCGCGGCTTCACGGTGACAGATGAGCTTCTAACATATGTCCCGTTTCCAAATCAGCCATGTCATCTGCGACTTCGCACCAACTTTATGACAAGAACCTTTGGGTCGCCAACTCCCCGGTCACAGTTTAAAGGCCCCAATTTGCCAAGACTGAGGAAGCCGACAAACTGCTTCAACCCCCTTGTTTAAACAGCCTCCGCTTCGTTTCCCTTGCAGACCAAAAGGAGGCTGATTCAACCCAAATTGAAACCAATCCTATTCCAGACCTCCAGTTGTTCAAGCACATTTAGGGTTGCGCGAAATAGATTCTAACAAATGGGTTCTGGAATGCACACATGACTGTCCTTGGCGCGAGCGATCGGAACCCGTTTATGAGAACCAGATTAACAGGTCCCTTGACATGCTTGTGGTTCAGGCCCCCTCTGCACAGTTCCTGTAGAACCTGAGAAGCTTGGGTTCCAAACACGCAAAATGTTCTGTTTTACTTCTAACCTTATAAAGCCCCCTGCTCAAACTATCGGTTTGAGGGAGATCCCTTCCAGGTTACCCTTAATGGGTGGTTCGGATTGCCGGATGACCCTAAACACCAAGCCACAAATCCAAGCCACCAAATGGATGTGGGTCAAAACCAATGGTACCATTTTGGGGTGGGTGCGCCACCCATTTTAGTCTACCTTAGTGGGGATTGGGATGCCCATGGCCAAATAGAGCGAAGCGGGCTCCTGGGAATGCCCACTCGGTTGGAACCATCTCCAGCCTCCTCCGCGCGAGAGGCTTCGTGGAGCCGCTGCAGGGCATCCTCCTCCCACCTTAGCGCAGCGCAGGGAAGTCAGCCAGTGAAAATCAGTCAAAGAGTCAGTCAGCGCAATTTGGGTCAAGAAGCGCGCACGTCGAAAAAATGCTGCTTTACAGACAAAACACAAAGCTCCAACAACTGCGTAAGGCGTTTGCTGGCTGGTTCCCCACCCGGAAGGTTTGGGGATTGTAGATTTTAAGTGACAAGCCGCTGAAGCTATGCTGGGCCACAAGGCCATGTAGTTGGATCTTGGGACTACACATGACGCATCCTTGCAAGAGCTGGCCTGGTCCCTCGAAGAACCGGAGGGCACCAGATGAAGGGAATTTCCAAACATGAAGCGTGATTTCGGCAACAGCTGCGGCTGCTACTGATTAGGGGTCAATGCTGCCTTGCTTCCATTTTGGTTTGACTGAGCTTCTTTGCTGTCGCATCAGCCAGCGGCTGACTTGCGGCCCCGCACACAGCCGGATGGACTCTTTGGTGCCTGTGTGGTTGCAGTCTAATTAATCAAAGGTCGTGCCACCAGAGCGCTGGAACATCCTCTTAAGGATAAGCTGAATATATGCGCAACTTGGAGTAAACAAGCCCTACATATGTCTTCTTTGGGGATTGGTCTGGGGGTCAGCGGAGGAAGTCTTTCAGTTTATATAGACAATAAATTTATTGGGTGGGAATTGCTCGAAGCTAAAGTAATTTGGGTAAGAAGGTTCTAGGAGTATGTGTGGCATCAACATGTGTAGCTGATTGAATTGAAAAGAATCAGTAAGAAGAAGATGGATTTGCGCCTTGTCGCCTTGTCGACCACAACTCTGTTGAAAGATGATGAATAGATCGCTGGCTTCAGCGAGCGTCTGGGCTGCCGAGTTGCGCGCCATGGACACGGGAAACAAGCCAAAACGTTGAGATGCCCAGGTCGCTTCCCGGGTTAAACGCTGAGTGGCGCAGCGTCAACTGACCACACCTGGCTCAAATCTCTTGCACACTTTTGGAGTTTCTGCGCAATGGCGGAAATGTGGGCACAGATGCCAGATTTGTGCACACAAATTGCGAGCCGGCAGCCGAAAATCGACTGAATTGTTGCATGGCAGCGAGTTGTCTCCCAAAAAAGTTTGGCGCAGGTTCAGTCCTGGAGCAAACATGTCGGAGTGCAAAGATGGCTTTCCTTTTGGCTTACCTTCAACACCAAAAGGGGTGTTCTCCCAAAACAGACATGCCAACTATGCGGCAATTGTCGGTTGCCCAAGGTCTATAGATGAAGCCAGAATGCCCCAGAATTAAACCTGCTAAAGTTACACCTGCAAAAGAGATCTACCCAACAGGCTAGGCCTTTCTGTGGATTGTGCTGCTCTCTCTTTCTGGCTGGGACTGTCCCCAACTGACTTGCTTGTCCGAACAAAGTGCATGCTGCTAGGTTCCATGTTTTTACATGTGGGTAGCTCTAAATCGTCAGGGTCAATTGGCCCAAATCACATTCAAACCAGAATCAAGGTCAAATCAAAACTGCCTGGAGACATTAAAACGCCGAGCCACTTGCGGCGCCGCAAAGCGCCTCTGGCGCCGTTGACAGCACCAGGCAGCTCTGCCAGACGAGCCTGGCGGGTGGACCTTTTGTCGAGTTCACCGTGAAAGAATCCATCAAAGGGGTCCCAACCACTGCTTTTGTGGCCGTACTTCGGTACTTCGCAACTTGGACATGGTTGAACAGGCAGAAAAGGTAGGGGTGCTGGATGGTTACCCAACAAGGCGCTACGGACTTGTATACCTTCTGCTTTCCCTTTGCATCATACCCGATTGCTTTAGCCATCCCTTCTGACATGTGAATCCTCTCTCTGCGTCACCGAGTGTACCTAGGCTGCCTTCGTCCCGCAACCTACAGGATTGATGTTGGATCAACTTGCATCTACCACCAATGCTTGGGATCCGGATGTAACAATCGACTCAATCTCTCGCAAAGAGAAGCCTGGGTTGAGAGAGCCCATGGACTAAGAGGTTTCATTGCCAACACGACGTGGTCAGCAATCGATCAAGTTGGGAGGGGCATTGGGCGTCACTAAATGCTCCACCAAAACCAGGCGACTCACTTGCAAAGACCTCTCTCCTTTGCAGCCGGTTGGACCATGGCTCACATTGGAGAAGTGGACACAGGCTTTCCCGAAACGAAAAGTGACCAGCGCTCATTGGAAAGAGGCTGCCAGGCTGCGATCCCACCCAGAAAGTCATTACCAGCAACCTCCAGCCAGCTTCCATCGCTTATTTTCAGGTTGCAGCTTAATTGCTGGGAGAGACTTGGACCCTAACGATCGCTTTTTGATGGTAGGCAGCTTAAGAAGTTGAAAGGTAAGCTAACTCTGGCACTAAGGTGGGTGAAAGAGTACATCCTTTTAGTTGAACATGAAAAGCTGAGACATAATTCATACTTGCTCAAGATTCTCCGTGTATTCGTTTTTGTAAGAATCAATTTTCCAAGAGGAAGCTTCCCCATTCTTTCCGGGGATCCGAATCGAAAACCCTGGGGAAACAGCGATTGGTTTTTGAGAAAAGAACGATAATTGAACAGAATGGTTGAGATCAATCCCTAGAGCTTCATGAAGAACAAGCGTACCGGTGGATCAAGCAAGGGTATGGGGACTAGGTCCTCCAGTAGAGAGGATAGAATAGGGCCACCAACTTTTTTTTTCTTCTTCTGTAGTCGATTTTACTAGGGGTCCCCCTCCCCCCAAAAAAGGGGAGAGAAGGCACTGGGGGACCTAGGGCATCAAACAAGAGCCGCTCGCTCCCCGCTGGCCGCTCGCTCGCTGGCTGCCTCCACAGCGCTCCGATCTTGCAAGCTCTTCTGCAGCGCGGAGCTGAGCTTCAGCATCCTTGGAACCCCCAAAATGGGAGGGGGTGTCCTTTGAAACAAGGGGTACCAACTTAAAAGAGGGACAGGTAATCATCCATTGTGGCTTCCTTTCAAGGGATTGAAATCCCTGCGCTGTGTCGGGTTGGTTGTGTCGGGTTGGTTGCAAATCGAAGCCGTTTTTGGGGACGGATCGTTGCAGAACGCTGTTTCAACCAACGGAGCATGGCCCCCATTCAAAGAGAAATCAAGATATACTTGCTGGAACTATAGCAGTTTAAACAAAGGTATACACAATTAAACAATTTGAGAAAGGGGTTCAATCATCCAACTCTGGGTCCCCTCTTTGTATTCAAGGATGCTGACATATTTGGTACGACAATTTTCTTCTTTGGGCAAGACCCCAAGCCTACTTCCACATGCTTACAACAAACGACGGGACTTAATGGGTCGTGCTTTCTGGCCAAACAAATGACAGCTACACACACATGCCGAAAGGACCCTGGGAAGTCAAAAGGTCGAAAGGTCGGCTCACTGGGCACAACCGGCTTGAGAAAATATGAAAAGCGTGTGTTGACACAGGATTAATACACCCGTCCCATTCTTAGGGGGGTGTTGCCTCCAAAAGTGGTCTGAATCCCCACTAAAAGGGCACACCCCCCTACCAAAATCAACCAGGGGTTTATTAATCCGGGGTTAACATTATGTTGACAAGGTTCAGGCAGTTAATGGGAGTTGGAGCTGGTTCTTTTTTCGGCATGTGATGAGTGCTGTTTCGCACCCCTACAACCACTCCTGCAGCGCAACTCATCGGCTTTCTTGTGGGCACGTAATGCTTAGATATGCTTAGGTGCATCTGCATCTGCGAAACCCGCTGGGACAACCTTCCCGATACGAGCATGCCGATCTCAGGCTTCAGAGGTCACAAAAAGGAATCTCACCCTCAAATGGCTGCAAGGTGAGGTTGACACAACCAAACATTCAACTGCATTCAAACAATGAAGATGATTTTTTTCACTTCCTACTTGGGTGGATAGGCTAAACCAAGACCAACATTTTTGTTTGCCAAAATAACAGTCGTCCCGAAAAGCGTAACGTGCAGGAACTCAAGGAGTGAGTTAACCCCTACTACACCTTGAATTTGCTCTGTTCGTGAAACCCCACGAAACCCGCTTCTTCGGGATCCCCTCCCCCTGCCCCCTCCCCCCTCCCCCCCCAAACAAAAAACGAAACTCCGATCCAGCCCAAGGCGCTCTTGCTCCGCGTCCTCCGCCTCCTTCAAGGCACCTGGGATGCCAAGCGCATAGCCACTTCTCAGGGACGCTCATCGAATAGAACCACCAGCAAACGAACAAGCAGATGTTTTAGCATAAAACATGTAGCGCATATTGACATCGAGTTGCCTCCCCTGGAACACAAGCAACAATATATGTCCAGTAGTTAAATCGATTTCCTTGAAAACCCACAGGAGAAAATAAACAACATCTTAAGCAAATGGAAGATTACATGACCAGAAAACGAACCTATGCGTCCCGCTGGGAAATTACAGTGAGTCCCGGAATGAAAAAGACAAATTGATCCACGCCCCGAACCCTGGACATGTCGATATCTCATTTCAGGGTTCCCTAGATCTCCCCTGACGCATCACACCAGGATACGTTTCATTTGGTACCATTCAAGCCAAAGAATTACTGTGGCTTGAGGAGGCAGAGAAATGAGCAAGTGGTTTGCAACCCTGGACCCTGGACGAATAATCCTAGACCCCCGTTCTCCGGCTAATTTGCGCAGGAATACCAATCTACCACATGCCCTTCCCCTATAACTGTTTGGTGGCACCCAAAGTGCAGGTTGGGAGTCGAAAGAAACAAAAACAACTGTGGGCTTGGGTCAACATGAAACCACCAGGAAATGGACCGCAGTCCTTGGTTCCATTTGCCAGGGCAAGCCATTTTGGGTACCCATTTTTGACCCACAGCCATATGGCCATGGGTCAAAATCCAAATCGTACCCCCAGAGAACATCCCAATCCAACCACTAAAATAGGTTCTAAAATGGGTGGTGAATTCACCCAATCCCAACTAAAATGGGATCCAAAAACGGTTTTGACAGCCACTGCCATATAGCACCCTTGAGCTTCCGAGGTGTGCGCCATCTTCGACCTGCTTGAGCTCGGCAGCCAAGTCCTGACCGAAAGCTTTCGGCGAGCCCGAGCCCCAAGCAAGGCACGTCCCGAACCAGAAACAAGAAGAATTTCTTAGAGGAACACTAGGTCCTCCAGTAGAGAGGTTAGAATAAGGGCGCCCGATTTTTTGTCTGTATATAGTCTATTTTAGTAGGGGAACCCTCCCAACCAAAAAAGAAACGGTAAAAGGGAACTACTGGGGCACCTAGGATAGAAAGATTCGAACCTGAAAATCCCCAAAAAGCAAACATCGCTTGTTGCTTGGGATCTCATTTGGGGGCGCCACCTCGTGGACTCAATGAAGACAATTGCAGAGCACGGGGCATAGGCTGTTTAAACTATGGGCTATGTCTCCGATAGGACATTATCAATACACACCATATTGAGTGGCAAGTATCACATTCCTTGCTCAGGGATTGTGGGAGTCAGAGGATGTGGCTCTCTTCTGTTGCACCAGAAGACTTCCTATGCTGACACCTTCATCAACATGCCTCCGTCTTGCCCCTTAGGAATGGGTGGAGCTCACGTTACAGGACTTCAACATTCCCATGCGGTGGCACAAGGGTAGACATTTGTTCTCTGGTGAAGGGAAACATCGGAGATGGCAAAACCTAAGCTTTCAATCGGAACCACCCTCTAAATATCAACAAGTAAATGATTGCTCGCCTATTGTGGTACAAGTAATTCGGATTCACTGGGAGTAATATTGGTGTTTGCTCCGGCCCTCAAATCATATAACACATGAGGATAGAGAATGGGTTTAGGTTTCCTTTGTTTGCCCTCCTACTTCACGCCCTGGTCGCCTATTATAGTTTGAAGCAAATGTCTCGTGTTTGGTGTTTCCCTCCTAATGTTGACCCCTATCCATCAACCAACCTGCTTACAAATAGGGGGGTGTTCCCCTCCAAAGTGGTCTGATTCGACACATTTCACCCAAAGACACCCCCCATGAAACTAAACAGGGGTTGATTCATATGGGGTCGATTTATATGGGGCAAACCATTTGGAAGCTAAACCCCAGCAACTAACCCCCCCTTATGAAACTCAACATTCCAGAGTTTAACTGGGGAGATGGACCAAACTAAACTTGCTCGATGTTCAAAGGGGGAGCAACAACTTAAATTTTAGCAGTTCGGTGGTTGGATTTCAACCACTAAACCACAACAGGCAAAAATGTAAATCCCCACAAGGAAAACTCCGCACATCTTGTAGGAGTTGTAAATCCCCACCTTGTAGGAGTGTCCCAACCAGAACCTTTGGTAAACTCCGCACCTTCGGCCCATCTCGGGACCCACACGCCGTCTCAAAAACTCAATCCCTCGCTGGGTGTCTCCTCAAGGGTCCGCGCCAAGCGCCGCTCGTTCACGCGCTGCCGCTCTTGTAGGCCCTGCGAACACGGGGGACTCAACCGCAACATGGAGCTCTCAAGAATCCCCACCCCCTCTGAAGGGAAAAGAAGAGAAGAATATGCGAAACAAATCAAAAGAAGAGCATGTGTTTTGAGCACAATACACATGTGCTTCTTAAATATGTGTTCTTTATTTGGGGGGGGTCCGTGTTAGTGAGCGAGGGAGCAACATCTTGTTGGTTCGAATGCAGGGTGCCACAGTTTACAGATTCTTCACCGGGAAAACGGTGATTGATTTCTGCACTATACTAAATGCATCTCACCAACCCGAAAGGAGTTCCTAGGAGGGTTTCATGGGCAAGCTTGTTTTGACTCCAGAGTTTGCTTTAAATAGCGCAGATTAATTGGCGGAGACATAGTATTGACTTGTTGGGGGTACAATAGGTTCGCTGATCCAGGGTCAACGTCAGCTTGTCCCATAATGGATTCGCCATAAACCCAGGAAATCATGTTTGGAGCAAGCCCCTAGCTCCATGGGCGGTCTTCTTTTTGACAACCCAAACATGGACACATGCGTAAACAATGAGAAGTGGGGGGTCCTCGGCTTCCATTTTAGTCTCCCCTCTCTCCCCCTCTCCCCGATTCCATTTCAAAGTGAGTAGGCCAACTCATGAAACATGGGAGAGGTCGAAGAATATTGTGGTCTTTTGTGCCGACTTGTGAAAAGGCACATGGTCAGCATGCACCAACCGCTCGACATTTGACTTGTCACTCTCCCTTGTCTTCAAAAGCGGGTAAACCTCATAAATCCCAGCGTCGGACCCCCTCCGCCAACCACAACCGTCAGGCGCAAGCTGCACCTCTAGTCGACGCAGTCGCCGCTGAATGGCCTCAAAGCTGAGATCAGCCCACAATTCGGAGTGGGGTTGTGTGTCAAGATGGGAAGACCTCCTTCAGATCAAAATGAAACCTTTGAGGGTAAAGGCAACGAGTTTCCTCTGAGAATGGCTTTCTGTCTTGGAGGTCGTGTTCATTTGAGAGGATGCGTCAAAATGTTGTCCTTCCAACTGCCATATGTCATACCTCTGAATAAAGCAGACAGGGGTGTGAGCAACAGCCCCTCCTTTTTGCGTCCCACGTCCTTTCACTGCCAGAGGGAAATGGGCGAGGATATCCCAAAACAACACCAGTACCAAGAACAAGACTTGTCCAAAGCACGGGGCACTGATTGATGCCCAAATGATATTGCAAGCACAGTAAGGGAGGGCTAGGAAAATCCTACCATTTACGCAATTCACCAGTGTGTCGTGGCTGGATACAATTAGTTCTCAGGGGTTTACTGCATCCCCAGACATGTTGATTGTCTACACTACCAAACTGACGAACAACACACCAGACTACTATCCCTACCTTTTCGGGTGGTGGAGCGAGGAATCCCTGATTCCGTTGCCTGGACAACGGAATCGGACATGGACACATCCAGGAGATGTCCATCCCTCTATGAATTCCAGTTGCAACCAGCGACACGGGGGAGCTCTTGGGATTAACCGACAATGTTTAGACGGTGTCCTGAAAAGGAAATCGGGTGTCTATTGAGTTGGTCCCTTCTTCATGGTCCTTGTTGGGCAAAAGCACCCCCCTGTTGCCGGTCCCTGCTCAGAAACACCCAAGTCGTTGCAATTCCATTCTTCAAGGGCTACCTTCCCCATTCCTTCCAGGGATCCGAATCTTAGCAGGAAACAAGCAAAAACCTTAAGAGAAAAAGCCATCGGTGATTGAAAAGAAGGACCTAGACTCTCCATGACCCTTAAAAAATGCGTCCATGGCCTCCTTATTTTGGGTAATGATCAACCACTTTTTAAGGGTCCGAAGGAGACTCCAGGCATGAACCCCTCGAATTCTGGGCAGCGAGGTCGAAGTTTGTTCCATGGCCCGAGGTCTCGGCCATCCCCGATGCGTCCTGTAGGCGCAGTGCTTGGCGCTGGAACGCCCTCGAAAGCCAAGGAGTAAACCGTGATCACCTTTGGGAGAACCACCGAAAACGGACGCCAAAACAGGAGAAAAGAAGAAAGGCAATGGCAACTTCAAGTTGACCACTTTCCTTTAGGAGAAGGAAAACAAATACAGACACATTTTAAGCGAATGAAAGTAAACGGAGTTCTCCCTTGGCCATGTTTTTGTTCAGGTATTTGGGAGTGCTTCTAAAAGCTGTGGCTGAATGACTTGGGCTCATGGCGCAAGAGCATTCCTCAAGTCCCTGCCAAGTTGTCCTAACAAGGCTTGGAACGCCAAATGGGGAGAATGCTGACACAAACACGACAACACGACCCGGACCCGCCTGTGGCTGGCAGGCAAATACTCAGACCCGGACCTCCACATATCTGGCCCCCCATGGTCTTCCTTTGGATAAGTTGTACAATAAAAAAATGCACGTGCCAGCACCACGCAGCAACTGCTTTGTGGACAGCACTTACAAATTTGAACATGGGAACAAGCAGTTGCTGGGGGGTGCTGGTGGGGGATGTCTATTTTGGAGTTGGTACCCCCCTTGTTTTTTTTGGGGAAACCAAAGACCAAGTGGTGGGTCCAACTTAAGAAACGAGCCATGTGTCTTGAGGGGCGCTTTTCGCGAACCCAGAAAAACACCCGAACCTTCCACCATGGGGCTTCTATTTTTGACAACATACCCAAGGCAACCTGCTGCCAACCCATGCCACCCTTCCCCCCAGCCTCAAGTTGAGCGGCGCCAGTTGCGTTCTTCACTCATGGCTCATGGCATCTCGGTCTGTAGTTCCTTGCTCATAGCTCATCAAAGGCCAAGCAGCCCATTGGTGATGAGTGGAATGTCACTCGGTTGCCGCCATCTTGCGATTTCGGGGCATGACAAACAGCTGCCTTCTGACTAAGCGGTTTGCTGGTGTCTCGCTGTTGCCAAGCTGCAATTGATTGCCAGTCTCCCGCTCTGCCTCACTTTTCAAGGATGCCGTTTTCCTCCAAGGTTGGTCAAAGACACTGCAACAGCTTCCAACGCTTGCTCCCTTATAGTGGGTGAACAGTCAGTGCTCAATATCCAACAAGTCTGGCTTGTGGTTTCAAGAATTCCCCAAACCGCAAAAAAAAACACCTTGGCGATTTGGATCCCGAAGGACCTTCATGGCGATTTCGCTCCCTCTCTCAATCTCCAAGTTTCGTCTCAGCATAGGCTGGAAGGCTTCGGACCACTCAGACTCTGATTTCCCTCTTAATTTTTCCTCGTGGTTTCCCTTAGCCCAGCGAACAAAGGGGTCCCTCAAAAAAATCAACGCCCTGCGAATATGTGCGCTTCAAAAATCCATGTCCAATCTAGGTCCTCCAGTAGATAGAGAGGTTAGAATAAGGGTGCCTTTTTTTAGTCTATTTTAGTAGGGGAACCCTCCCCGAAAAAAAGGGTAAAGGTGCACTACTGGGGGACCTAGCAATATGGTTTAAGAGAGGTCCATCCAAGAGCCCGTCGCCTGAAGCCAAACAGAACCGCGTCGAGGGTCGATTCGCGGCCGCAGCTCCCGGGCACCGCAGTCAAGCATGCAAACCCAAAAAAAAACATTCCTGTTGGCTTATGACAATTCATCAACCTGGTGTGGTTGTTCGTTCAGCAAAGATGGACTATAAGTTCACCAGCCTGGTAACCTGCAAGTTGGAAGCAAAGGAATCAGTTGTGTTAAAACAGCCGAGGCCGAGCTTAGATATGGCTGGGTGCTTCCTGAAGTTGGAGCCCCATCAAAAACATGCTTGGTTTCCTGTTGATTCCCCTTCCATCCTCAGCCAAAAGAAAAAACCGAATCTGATAGTGACTTCTTCAAACTTGGGTATGCCCCTGTTGGCATTGGCCCACCCCTCGACCTGGGAAGTGATTGGCTGAACTGTCAAACGTCTGCGTTGCTCCAGCTTGCCACCTTTTTTGCTGGGTTCTAATCAGGGAATCACCCCTATAAGCCATGGTTTCCTTTGAGGGAATCCCTAGGTTCATCCCCAACACCCTGGGTCATTCCCTACTGCGCCCAGGAAGCTTTTACATCACTGCTTGTGAGAACTGACTTTGAATTGACTGGGTCGAACTTAACCCTGGAAAAAGTCAACTTGTTGCTCCCATGACCACACCAGTGCAATTGCAGATTGCTTGAAAGGGTCAACTTGTTGCTTCGGAGGAAAAATGATGGAAAACCACAACGGCCAAAAGTCAACAAGGGTCGCAAACGGGTAAGCTGAGTGTGGTAGTGCAAATGGGTTGCTCCTTGATCCATTTGCGGGAGGCAATGCCTTACGAGAACCCCAGCATGCCCACAGTGCTGTGGGCATCACTCCCAGCCTGCGGGTCCGATTGCACAAAGGGGTAATTCCTCAGATCGCACGGCGCCCGTTTCACCATGTTCACCGTTTTGTCCCCTTGAAATCTCGAACCAGGATTCTTGGAGGCTCGAACCCTTAACAGTCTTTCTGCCTGGGATGGTGGTTGACGCTTTTTCGGGAAGGTCTCTTTTGACCTACCTTGTGCGTTTGGGCCGGATGAGGACGGTCTGCTTCGCACAAGCACATCAGCGCCCGAAGCCCCTGTTGACCAGTCTCTCAATGGCTTCACAGGGTTAAGCGTTGCCCTATAACCAACCCTTGCGTAACTTGCGTAGGGTTATACTGGGGCCCTATACAAGCCCTTGCTACCATGTTAGAACCATATGGGCACCCCCATTGCCAGGACGAGCAAAGATGGCCCAAAGATTCAGGAGTTCAGGGCCACTTTCAAAATATGCTCCCACAAAGGAGATGAGACAATTTGGTTTCGTGCCTTGGTGTTAGCAGAAATTGCTTATATTCTCACCGAACCTCTTCCAACAGTTCCAACGTCTCTTGGTTCAAAAGCGCGTCTTCTCAAGTGACCAAACGAGTAGAATGCTAGTGGGAATTGCCTCCATTCAATTCATACACGCGGAGGGTTGACAGAATGGTGACCCTATCCAGTAGGTCCTCTATGAGACCATCCGAGAGGTCGTTCGGCAGACTTTGGACAACCAAAACTCACCTGCCCAGAAAACCTGGAAATAGATTGGTCACCTTGTAGGACCTTGGCTACAAAAAAATGGAAACCCAAAGGGTTGATCCAAGAAGGCCACCAAGCCCAAGAAATATGAAACGGGGCTATCCTCAGACCCCCTGCTACAAGTTGTTCTCTTTTCGTGGGCTTGGTGGAAGTTCCAGGCCTGGGCACCGCCAAGAGGGTACTCAGTAAGAGGCTAGTAAAGCCTGGTTATAACCCACTTATAGGAGACTGCACGCGCCCCTTGAAGCGCCCCTTTCTTTCAGCTCGAGGCGCCAGAAGTTGTAGCGCCGATTCTTGATGAGCTCGATAAAGGTGATCAGCAAGCCCCAGGGATGTGGCCTCGACGAGCTTGGCTGGGCTGCGCGACCGCTTAAAAAAAGCTGCGGGCGTTTTCATGCTCAAATTGGCAGCGCCTGTTTTTGTTTCTACAATAAGAGTCTAAACCTTGCCGTTTGTTTCTTCTTTTCTTTTTTTTTGCCACGTTACCTACAAACATGGCAAAAGTAGCTTCTTGGCGAATCTCCTGGAAGCAAAGGTCCACTGCTGGCCAAATCACCCTCTCCTTTACGTTGGGTCAGCCTCCAACATGGAAGGCCCCCGAAACACCAACCAATCAACTATTTATCCTGGCTCTCATTGGTGAGTGCAAGGATAGCAAGAAGGGTGGTCACCTATCTAGAGTTGCACCAGCGCTCAACTAGACTGTCTCAGCAAGATACGCTCACACACTTAGACTTGACTTCTGGCGTTCTGCATCAAACATTCATGCTGGCAACTCAGCAAAAGGAGCACCCAGACCCTGGCGCGAGAGTTTTGGCCTCCAAAAATACAAACCTTCTTTCTACACTACAAACTGACAGCGGCGGCTATCAACGTTGCTTTGAACCAAAAGGAGGTGACACCCACAGGGCGTTTCCAGCTGGAAACGCGGGCGTTTCACTCTCGGCGACGGGCCATGAGGCCATGAGGCCATGAGCCGACTCGGTTGAAACATGGTGAAACACCTCAGGGCTCCGGATGCTTTATACACCTGAACATTGCAACTTGTAAATGGTCGTTTCAACTTTTATGTTGGTGTTGAAAAAGCAACATGTTTCAAATGGTTGCCAAATGTATATCGTTTTTTGGGAGCCCTGCTCAATGGCTTTAACCAAAAGCCTGCTGTTCGCCTTCCTCAAGGGGTTCCGTTGAACTAGGGACCCCCCAGAGGCCCATGTTCCAAGCGCCCAGCCGATGGACAATCAGCCTCTCCAGCAATACACGAGTGATCTGCTCGCGAACCTGCGGCCACTGCGGCAGTACCACATTGTGGAGGACCTTAGGACTAAGGACAACTCGCACCCTAGTTTCAAGTCCACCGGGAGAGAGAAAGCACCAACAAAGCCAGCTGATTCTCCCTTTGGTAGCTTCTGTTAGGTTCCCTCCAAGCCCCAAAATCAAAAGGCACCCTTGAAAAAGATATACCCACGTGACAAACATAAGGAAACTGCATGCAAGTGATAAAGGCGCAAAGAAAGCTCACTGAAACCAATCATTTGCCTCCAACTGGAAAATAGCTTCAGCACCGCCCAAAACTTGACGTTCAGTTTTGCTGAATTGGCTATCAAACTTCATGCCCGTAACATGTGCCTTGGCATCACCGCTGTTCAACCAACAAATAGAGTCCTTCTGCCAAAAATGGCCAAAGGTTGGGGCATTCTCTTGAGGTCCCAGAGGCTGGATGAGTTCGAATGTCAGGCATCTGGGCCTTTGATGGCTCTTGAACAGCATCCACTGCGCACCAAAAGGAAATAAGTCCTCAAATTCTACCCCTGGATGGATGCTTGAATCATCCAAAGGGTACACCTGACTCTCACGTCCGCTGGCCTGGGTTTTGC